ACCAACTTTCAACACAAAGTTACACCCTTGTCTTAGACAACGCCTTAGCAGGTGCACTGAAAAAATTCGGCGCGCGCTAGGCGCGCGCATTATCTTCTGGGGGCTGAGCCACCCTTGTCTCTTAAACCTAGAGACGCCCCTGTTCATAACATCGCAGTCCGCTAATCCGTGACCTGTGCTTTAAACCGAAAGCCAAGAGTAACGAGTAACGATTGTTTTAAAAATGTAAGGAATAGAAAGTAAAGATACTTGTGTGAAAATGTAATGAATAGAAGTCAGAAGTAGGAAGAAAAATAAGTAATGGAGTAAAGTATAGATACCTAAAAAGTGTACTTAAGTACAGTAATGAAGTATTTGTACTTCGTTACTTGCACAGGTGTCAAGTAACGAAGTACAAATACTTTGTTACTGTACTTAAGTACTTTGCAAGTATATTTTTAGAAATATAGTCATATAGCGGCATCTGGCTGTTTTTTTTTTTTTAAAGGTTACTTTATACTTTTATACTTTAAGTAGTTTTTGGAGCACATACTTTTTCACTTTTACTTGAGTAAAGAGGTCAAGTTGATACTTCAACTTTTACCAGAGTGTTTTTAAACTGCAGTATCTATACTTCTACTTTAGTAACTAATGTGTGATTTTTTTTTTCACACCACTGATTGAATGTCGTGCTCATGGTGGCAGCAGAGGTTGAATTAGATTCATATTTTTATAGTTTTACTTGTTCTAAGTGGGTCAATTCGCCCCGATTGCTCCTTATCCTGCTTTTAAGGCGAATCCTGCTAACTATTTCTAATGCTAACTCCACCCATCGATGTGAAAACCAAGCTACTGGTCAGACCCAGTATTTAAATGATAAAAAATTCAGTTTATTTTTCCAGTTAATAAAATGCCTGTAAATAAAAGAAATGTGCTGCAGTGTGATTGTGAATGATTTTAGCTCTTTTTGATGTTGAAATAACTTCAATGCTTCGATAAACATGAGAAGCATGTTTTGTTTTACAGCGTTGCCATAACTACATGACGGAGCAGCTGGGGATTCCAGTTTGGGGTTCATACGTCATCTTTGGTTTGGTCACCTTGTTCGCTGGCCTGACGTTGGGTCTGGTGAGTGTTTCACTGATGACGACATGATGCCTGCAGTGTGAACTGAAATGTGCCGTTGTTATTAATTACTGGATTGGTCTTTAATATCTTGTTCTTTTTAGTTGCTGGTCTTCATCGCAGATTACGTCTTTCCCTCTCGGAGATTTTCTTCGCATGAATACTACCAGAGTGAGTTTTGTTGTTTTTCTCATTCATTTTTACATGACCAATGTTGGGCTGCTTGGTGTCTCAGTGGGTAGCACTGCCGCCTTGCAGCTAAAAGGTTCCAGGTTGAATTCCCAGGCCGGGGTCTTTCTGTAACAGGGCGGTGGTGGCCTTCTGGTTAGGACAGAGAGTTTGGAATCCAGAGGTTCTGAGTTCAAGCCCCACTCCCACAGCCGACACTCTGGGTCCCTGAGCAAGAAAACATTGAAAGTACTTGCATATTAGCAACATGCTCCGTGTTTATAAATTTGTAGTCCGTGAAACGCGTCCAGTCGAGATTAGCAAATAGAGAGATGACTCTAAAGCTGTCTGTTGTTGAGGTTTTAAAGTTAGATCAGTCTCACATGGGACATCAGAACGGGGATCATTGAAATATAGCTCCGCTCCGCTCGCCATCTTGCTGTAATGTTAGCAGAGAGTGCTTAGAGTGACACATTAAGTTTCACCTCAACTCAATTCTATTCAGTTTATTTCTATAGCTCCAATTCACAACATGTCATCTCAGGTCACTTTCCAGTTCATCAGATCATCCAGTCAGATTGATTCAAAGTTTTCTATCTAAGGAAAACCAGCTGATTGCATCGACTCATTGACTCTTCAGCAATCCCTCACACTAAGCATGCTTGTAGCGACAGTGGAGAGGAAAAACTCCCTTTTAACACGAAGAAACCTCCAGCAGAACCAGGCTCAGTGTGAGCGGCCATCTGCTGAGGCCCACTGGGGTTCAAGGAGACAGAAGCAGACATAGAAAAAGAAGCATAGATACAAAAGGCAACTGTAAAAGGCGGCCCCGTCCAGGAAACACACAGCCAGGCAGACGAGCTCCGAGCCAGCTCCCATGTCAGAGGATGAAGAGAGCACATCCAGTTAGTCACAGTCAGAGAAACAGGACTACACTGGAAAACAGGCCAAGCTCCAACATCTAGAAACAAAGGTGTTGATGGCAGCAGCACAGCTGATATTTCTCTCCAGGATGGAGTCACAGCCAAACAGGAACAGACCAGATGAAGCTACTATGAGAAAAAGCAGAGAGAGCAGAACGTTAGAGATTGAACTAACAGATTCTGCAGAGTGGGAGAATAGAGATAGAATGAAGCAGAATGATGAAAAAGGGGTCCCTATGTCCTCCAGCAGTCTAAGCCTATAGCAGCAGAACTATAGAGATAGCTCAGGATAACCTGAGCCACTCTAACTAGAAGCTTTATCAAAAAGGAAAGTTTTAAGCCTAGCCTTAAAAGTAGACAGGGTGTCTGCCTCACGGACTAAAACTGGTAGTTGGTTCCACAGGAGAGGAGCCTGAGAACTAAAAGATCTGCCTCCCATTCTACTTTTAGAAATTCTAGGAACCACTAGTAAACCTGCAGATTGAGAGCGAAGTGCTCTGTTAGGAACATAAGGAACAATCAGATCTCTGATATCAGATGGAGCTTGGCCATTTAAGGCTTTATATGTGAGAAGTTTCACTTCCCGTGCTGTAAATTGGTCCGGCCATATTTGCCTGGATTTGATGGCGGTTTACCAAACTGAATTAGTCAGACTGTTATGTAGTCTGGCTAGCCAGGCTACTTTAACGCCTTTTAATTAGAACACATTTTAACCACAGACCTTATATTCTGTGGGGACTTAAAGAAATTTATTACTACATTGTTGTGAAAAGGAAAAAAAAATGTTTTCTTTTTTTTAAAGAAGGATTGTGACATTTTCAAATGATACTGCCACCTTTGGCCAAAACACACAACTGCAGCACTATTCCGCTCGTTGCCATCGCATGCCCTGGTTGTTGACTTTTTTTCACCTTACCTGGAGCTGCCATTGGTGCCTGAGTTGAGCTGGATGCCGGTCGCTTCTAAGTATCCAGAAAATACATCTTGAATAAAACACTTTGATTGCTTGCTAGTTTGAACCAATTCACCATGGACCATAAGCTGAAGAGCCCAAGAACATCCAACCGAAGTAAATTTAGGAAAATAGGCTACAGGCTTATAGATGGAAGCTGACCTACCGAGGTGTCAATCTGCTCATCAGGTGATGTTTCAGTTGTAAATGGTTAATTAAAAAGGCTATTATTAATATATTTTTCAGTAAAAACTTACATAATGTGTCTCTGAAGTTCTTCTTTAATCAGTTGTTGTTTTTAACAAATATCCAAACATGGGGTGAATGCTCACTGACAAATGCAAAGCAGATAAAGCATATTTAGCTTGTAAGCTGCACATAACATCGGTGATGATTTTTCTGTTTCAACAGAGAAACAGGCAATGGAGCAGGCAAGGCTGATCCAGCATCAGGATGAGGACCAGGAGGCTGACGGTGAAGAGGATGATGATGATGATGAGGAGGAAGAGGATGAAGACCAGGACGGGGACTGGAGAAAACTAAGAGGCTCTCCCGAAGGTCGACCAGAACCCAGAAGCCAGGGTTACTCTGATGAGGCTCTGAGGAAGAGAGCGGTGGGCAGCAGGGAGGAGGATGAAGAGGACAGCTAGAGAGCTAGCAGGGAGATTCCCCAGCCTCTTTTCCTTTTCCTCATTTGATAAGAGCACAGTGGAGTCAGAAGAGCTGGAGGAGCTGTGGTCCTTAGCAGCAGTATTAAGAAGAAGGGGTCCAAAATCTTCCTTCTGACACGCCCCCTACACCCCCACTTCAACCTTAGAAACACCCTACTTTAACACCTTGTTTCAGACAGGAGCCCTTTACACTTCTACCTCCGCTCCCTCCACCTGAGCAGCAGGCTCCAACTGGAACAACAAAAAAACTTTCCTCACACGTGGAAGCAAGCCGCCATGCCTGAGGTGTAGGTATGAAGTGCAGCACAGCTGATTTTTGAGATGCTGTCTATGCTATGCATTGTTTTTCATAAAAAAAAAATGTTTTTTGCTTTTAATTGTGACAAGCTTTGGTCTGTGAACATCACTTGTATCAAACAGGTCATTTTTTTCTGCACATAAAACCCAAAATCAGTCAAACTTCAGTTAAAAAGTTAATTTAAATCCTTAAAATCCCAGCTCTATTTAGTACTTTCTAACACGCACATCTGTAAAAATCTTAAAGTAAAAAACATGGGAAAAGTTTTCAGATGCTAAGAGGTTAAGCTCAGTTGAAATAAACCTTTTATTGGTTGGTTTGGATCATTTCCCTGCAACTGGACCTTTTAATATGCACCAAACTTCCCCAAAGAGTTGATTTCAATAAATAAGAATGCAGCATGACCAAAGACAAACAGATCTGTCGTACCTTCAAACGTGAGCACCCTCTAAGCATCATTCTTCTTCCCAGTTTGGAATATCATTAAAGTTTTTTGGTTGTAGTTCTGTAAAAATAGAACTGAGGGAAACAAATCTTAAATAAAAAAAACTGCCCTTTTGTTTTTATAATAAATCATGTGCAAATAGAGGATTAAAACTTAAACACAGCCTTGGATATAAACATGCATCCATGAATGCAGGAAATCACAGAGCAGGAACTCCTTTGATGTCCGATGTCCAGTCATCACTAGTTTGTTTGAGCAGCCGTGTAAATATTAGTTATAAACTGCATTATAAACGAACACATCCTGCTTTAGGAAGAAGTATTTTATTCACTCCAAAGTTAACATTGTTTAGGTTGTTACTGCTTGGAAATGGACTATGTTTGCTGTCATTTTCCGTTTAGTTTTTTGCTGGTTTTGCTCCTAAAAATGAATGTTTACTTTAAATGTGACCCAATCAGCCAGGCAGCAGCAGACTGTATGCATGCTGAAATGGCCAATGAAAGGAATACAGTGGAAGGAAGCATCGGCTTTGGTATGACTTTGGTTTGCACTGAAACAAGCTAACTGCCTGCTTCTGTGTGTTTCACCACTTTCCAAATATTCAAGCATCTGACTTAAAGCTACGATTTTCACTGATTTCCAGGCATATTTCATTGTTTTTATAGGGCTTATAATGATTTTCACAGACTATTGATTCATGATTTTATTTTTTAATATATCCTTATAATGAATGTGTTCATTTGGAGACCCTTAAAGTAGGTTAGGTTTTCTTTTTCTGATCATTATTTATGGCTTGTAGCATTTTCACTTTACCCTGGGCAGCTTCTGCTCTATACTTTGAATAAAAGTTGAACAATAAAAACTGTTTTTCAATTTTATTGTCTGAGAAATCGATGCTGTTATTTAACTTTTCTCCAGGTTATTTTTTTGGGAAGCTCGCTACACATAGTTGATGAAGAATAGTCAGTTATGTAAATAATTTCCTCTCAAAGTCTGACCAGCATTGTTTCTCTGATCAGGTTCCAGTTCATCATTAATGCTCTTATATATCAGATATAAGTATCCTTTAAAGGTAAACAGCTGAAAATTCCTCCTTTCTAAATGTGAACGTTTACGTATAATGAATTCAAGGTGAATATGTACGTCCTTTTAGATTCAAACGTGTGAAAGTTTTTCCCTTAACTGTCCAAACATTGGTTGATTTGATACAATTCTGAAAAAATTTCAATTATCAATGTTTTTAGATAAATAATTCTCCACATATAAATACTTCCAAGTTGGATAAATCCTCCCCATTAAACAGAACAAGTACCAGTCCTTGCCAGCAGATGTCAGCCTTGCACTTATTTTGAGTAGTTTTAAAGGTCACCCAGAGGTTTACCACTAAATGACATAAAAGACGAATCAACATGTGAAATTTGCGTTGGTATGTGAAACTATGGTTTGTATTTCCTCTTATTAGATCCCTCAGGAGCTTCCCAACTCCTGCAGAATCTCCTCCACCCTCCTGTGCACAGTTATTCCCTCAGAAGTTAAAAACTGGAGCCTGACTGAGGAGCCGATCTGAAATCAGCTCTGTAATTGTAGCTTGAGCTGCCCTCTGTGCACGCTCTGCTTAGCAGGGGTTAAACTGTTTCAGGAAGGGAAAGCGGGCTAAGGTGTTTGATGGGATTCCCCCTCCTCTCCCAGCATTCGCCAACGCTGAGTGTTACAGAGCAGCGAGGTTTGGGCTGCACAGTAAAAAGAAAAAGCAAACAGAATCCTCTGCAATGCTATCCACACATGCTTTTGTGCAATAGTAACTGATGGCAGATGGTAATGTTTCTTTTTCTGTTCTTACTCATTTAATTTGCTGCAGCTCATTTGGTTTCCTGTCATCCTTGCTGTCATTTCCTCAATATCTTCTAGTGAAGCGCCAGCTTTGCAGTCATGAGAGACAAAGGCATGCTGGGTATAAAGACACAGCTTGGGTGTAAGGTGACATCTGAAGAGAGGAATGCCTGTTTGTGAAGTTTATTCCAAGTCTTTTTTTTTTTTACTCTAGTGCAAATTGAGTTGAAAGAGAAACAGCTGAGTGTTTCATGTCTCTCTATAACATACATAAAGCAAAGATCAAAGATATTTTGTAGGAACTTAAAAAGTTTAATCTTCTTCCCATCGTTAGATCTTTTAGATGTATCACAGACCAATTTAATTTTCCATCCCACCACACAACCCAAACTGCCCTGATGGAAAAATGCAAATGGTTTGCTGGCTCTGGTCTCTCCATTCTCACTCTTGACCTTATTGACAAATATGTTTAAACTTTAAACTGATTCCTCTCTGGTTCAATAAACTTCAGCCATTTTGTTCTCAGTCTTGTCCATCTCTAGAGGCATACCCCAAGGTTCAGCTCTTGGACCCCTACTATCCATTATTTACGCCCTTTCCCCTGTGTCACATCTTTACGGCAGAGGATTAGGGCCACTGAAAAAAAAATGTCAGAATTCTGTCTTTT